GGACCTTCACCCCCCCAGTCATGCCCCTCAGCAAGGGAGCCCAGTCCCATGAGTCCTCTGGGACACAGAGGATGCAGGAGGGAATGTTGGGAACCTTGTCTCCTTGAGTGTAGGACCAGCAATGTGGTTGGGCTAACCAGATTGACCAGGATCAATATAAAAAGTCTCAGCCCCAAAGCATGAGGTGTATAATCTAGGTTCTTAGAGGGACTTCCTAAACCGTAGTGAGAATTCTGATTTTCTTTAACATTTTCTCTTTATAGGGCTAGTCATCCCATTTACACAACCATTTGCTACACCTCAAGAATAACTGAAGATATTTTATATACATGGGGTCTCTCAAAAATTTTATGGAAGACAGATATTATGAACATTAGTTTCAATTTTTGAAACAAACATTTTGAAGTATCTGTTCTTCCTGCTGCTCCTATATTATTTAAGTATAAAATAACAAGTAAATATGTGATTATGAACAGTTTTGTAATATATCAATTTACTTCCATAAGAGACACAACTCAGAAATGAAGACTAAATCAAACTGGTAAAAGGCCCAGAGGTCCCCAGACATGAAATATCAATCCAAGCAACGGCTTAGGAAATAAAAGTAGGAATTTGTGTTTAGAAACTAAGAAAATGGTAAAGGCATCAGATTCTTGGCACAGAAAACCCAATTATCCTACTTTTATAATTTATATAATATTTGGACAGATGAAACAATCACACATTGAGGTGTGAAAATGTAAACCAGAAACTGAATTCGATGTAAAGATCCTACAACTTGGAAGTCGGCAGCAAGGAGCACCAATGGGTGAGCTCTCTGTGAACAGGTTCTGGGTACACTTGCTTTTCTCCTTTTCCTCTTCCAATGATATCAGAAAGTCCTTGGAGACTAGGGTAACATGGACCTATGGGCTAATTAGGAGCTCTGTGCCTTGAGCCCCCACCCCAGTCCTACAAGTGCAAATAATGAGCCAGTGACTTCAGAACTTGACTTGCCAGACAAATGCTGTGGCTCTGTACTCATGTTCAGTCCTCTTGAACATCTGTGTGTCAGGAGACCCAACCCGTCTGTCTTCCTCCCACCCCTGAGTACAGAACCTGAGGCTTCCCCGCATACCAGGCAAGAAGCAAACAGTGGACCCAGCTTGTTCTGCCATGCTTCAGTGAGTGCTGAGGGACACAGTGGAAGGAGGTGGGAATATCAGCCTTGATCTCCACATCTTTGGGACAAAGAGAACAATTGGAGTAGATGGATGGGAAGGAACCAGTGGGCAAAGTTCCAGCTTAGATAATTGTGAAGTTCACGTTCTTGGTTCTCAAGGGTCTCAAATTATTGAGCATTTTTCTTTCCTTCCACACTGATTCTTCTCACTAGATTCTTCTTCATGATAGGAGCAAATGAGTCTCTGAATTTCCGAGCACTCACACGTAATCATGAAGGTGAGGAGGAGGAGGATGCAGTAACCATAAAGTCTCCAACCTTACTGAGGGCTTCCTATGAGCCAGGCTCTGAATTCTAGATCCTATTCAATCTGCTTCTTCTCATCTATGTACTCCCCCACATTATGTTGCAGATGCTACTTTTGTTTTACAGAAGAGGAGAGGAGCACAATGTTCTTTGCAACTTGTACCAGGCTGTGATGTAGAAATGGGTGAAACCACAACCGAGTCAGGTTGTCTGACTGCAGACACGAGCATGCCCAATCTCCCCCCTGACAACCCATCCATTCATCTCTCTTTCCTGTCACTCCAGGCTGACAGCCCTGCTCACCATGCTTTGTCTTTGGGGTTTCTTGGTAAATCACAGCAGGCAGCAGTGGGACAAGGTGACTGAGCTCACAGAGAGAGCAGACATGGGATCAGAGTCTCTCTCCACCCCACCCCACACTTCAGTCATCCACTTTCTCCCCAACTCTTGTAATCACCTCATTTGATCTCAAAGAGAGACAAGATTGGGGTCTTGGGTTCCATTTCTATTGCCAAAACTGGGAACAATTTTAAAGGACCTCGTAGAACCTGTGGTTTGGATCTCTGGTTCTCTAACACTCCCTGATGGTTGGGAGAAAATGGGGGTCTTTGATAAATTGGATCCAGAGACTTTCAATGTCATTTTGACTCCTGCCTGCTCCACTGATGATTTCTGTGATGTAGGGCAGGTTGTCAGTACCCTGAGAATCTGCGTTGTCATCTGAGATGATGCCTCATTGATAGCACTTCACTGGGTAATTTTTGAACTGATAATAGATACATCCCAATCATCCAAAATCATTTTGGAGCATAGCCATACCCTCACAAATGTATTTGCTGTGTATTTGCTGAAGAACAGTCTTTCATTTCAGATTCCTCAGACACTAATCTGTTGCTTGGCACAGAGGAGGCATAAAAAAAGAAGTTAAATAATGAATAGACCTTACCTTGGCTCACAATAGCTGGCCATACTCAGTAACATGGGTCCTATAATCTCATCAGCAGCATCTGCAGCATTACTATTGTTTATAGTTATTCAAAAATCAAGGCAGAGGTTGTTTTATGTAGAATAAAAAAAACCTAGAGAAAGGGCAAACATGTTGTGTGGGTGAGACTCATTTTCAAGTTGGATATCATTGTAGCTTCCCGTGCCTTGGACAATGGTATACACTGACAAACTTGCTATCTCCATAATGAGAGAATTGTGTATTTCATATTTATAAAAAATATTTATTTATTTGAGAGGTGGAATTATAGACAGAGAGGGAGTGACAGAGAAAGGTCTTCCATCTGCTGGTGCATGTCACAATGGCTAGAGCTGGGCCAATCCAAAAATCCAGGAGCCTCCCATATGGACACATGGACCCAAGTGCTTGGGTCACCTTCTACAGCCTTCCCAGGCCAGAACAGAGAGCTGAATCAGAAGAGGATCAGCTGGGACTTGAACCAGTGCCCAAATGGGATGTTCGCACCACAGGCAGAGGCTTAGTCTACTCTGTCACAGTGCCAGCCCCAAATTCTGTGTTTTAAAATGTCACAATGACCAAATATTTTGGTTCTAAACTTCCTTAGATGCTATGCCTGTCATAAATATGTGTGTTCTTCTTCCTGTATCCAGTAGACAATACAAGCAGACAGGGGTGCAGAGATTCTCACGCATTGTGCCTATAGTGGGTGAATGATCTGGGATGGAAACATTGATTTCCTCACTCCTTCTCAGAGCACTGTCTCCTTCACTGGAGTCAAATGGAAATATTATTCTGTCTACAAGATGAAACATCTCAGTGAGTAATCATGGGGGGATTATGACTAGATATAACCCAGGGATATATATTCAATGGTATATCTTAATAAGAGGATGTAAGTTGATTACAATTGTTTTATTGGGGCAGCAGATGTAAATGATTAATAGTAAAATTGCCCGTGTACTGAATATTGCAACTCAAACAGCTCTATTCCATGCACATATCTTATAGCAATTCTCATTTGTGATATGGAGACAAGAATTTTTGAAAGATTGTCAGAATAAATAGACAAATGAAATGATGTTCCTCTCTCAGGTAAGGACAGGAAACAAAGTATATGAAGGAGACATGAGCACTTCACAGAGAGACTTAAACCCAAACATCAATGTATGCTTGTACATTTCATGGGCAAGAGGTATAGAATTCTACTCAGATGAGCTTCAAGCACTTCGCAGGTAAGTTTTAGAGAAAACTATTTAGGGATGCAGAAATTACTGCTGACTCAGAGGGGCAGGCATTGTGATAAAGTAGGTTAAGCTGCTTCATCCATATTACATTGGCTTACTCTTCCTCCAATTCAGCCTCTTGCTAATATGCCTGGAGGCAGCAGATGATGGTCCAAGTACTTTGGTTCCTGCTACTTGTGTGGGAGACATGGATGGGGTTCCTTATTCCTGGCTTTGGCCTGGCACAGCCCCAGCTGTTGTAGGGATTTGGGGAATGAACCAGAGGATGGAAGATCAGTCTCTATCATTTTTACTCCAGATCTCTCTGCCTTTTGAATAAAATAACAGAAATCTAATAACATATTTAAAAAATTTTTCTTACAACAGCTCTACAAGGGAGATAATTATTATTGCTATTTTACAGAGGTGGTAACTATTGAGTATCTTTACATTGTTTTCTGGAATTCTGTTTCACATTTTTTCACCATTCAATGACAGTATAACCTAGCAAAATAATAAACTAACATTGCCTTTAGGCAGCTGAAGTTAGAAAAATTCATGTACCAGGAAGTGGTGACATAAAAATCCTTGAATTATGCATAGGAAGTTTGGGACTCAGAGCTGTCTTTGGAGCTTTCCTGATATCACTCACCTCAAATGGTTTATGATCAGAAAAACAACCAAGCAGTATTGCCAGGCCATTAAGTGACACATAAGAAAAAATTTAAAAATGTTCAAAGTAAAAAGCTCTCATATATCAGGCATTTATTAAGATTCTCAGGGGACCATACAAAGAAACCTGTAGAAAATTTAAAAAATTCAAGTAGTTCTTAATAGTTCACTGTTTCTAATCATTGACAGGTTCAGAATGCACTATTGTTCCAATGGTGGTCATTGAGTTCACATGACTATGTGTATTAGACAATGACTTTTATGAAAATTTGAAGTCCACCAAAGCTAAGGACTGGAGTTATATATTAAATGGCACTAAGAGGCAAAAAGGAGTGAGTGTAAATAGCATAGTGGTTAAGGTGCCAGCTCCCACACAGTACTTAGGGTTGATTACTGGCCCTGGTTCCTGACTCTTTCTTCCTGTGAATACAGATCCTGGCAGGCAGTGGTCAGATGGTTGAGTCTCTACCCAGGGGAGACCTGGATTGAGATAGGAATAAGAACTCACAATTTCTACCTTGTTCCAGCCACAGCCATCACAGGCATCTGTGGAGTGAAGCAGTGGATGAGAGTATTCTTTCTCTCTAAGCAAATGAGCTAAACAATATTAGAGTGAGCACATACATCCACGAAAGAGGGGAGTCAGAAAAGCCAGGAATGGGTAGATCCCTGGAAGACAACAGACACACAACAGTATTTCCTGGTTGTGAACAATCAATGTTAGTTTGGGGTTCAGACAATACATTTATAGCTTTATAGATGACTTATAAAAATTGTGACTGAAAGGAATTTGTTCCATTGTCTTAAAAAAAGGCATATTTAACTGTTTTTAAATTTCCTTTAATTAGACTGTTTGTCATAAATACTAGATTGCATTAGACTCTGAACATAGACTTGTTAGTTCTAATGTTCTTGGCTTTCTAAAATTTGTGAGACTCTTTAAGGCTTTTACATAGAGAGAGGTAGCTCAGACACCAATCATAAAAGATCTCTCAGAAGACTGAGTTTGTCACCATTGAGAAAGATGACAGAATTTGGTTACCGAGTGTGAATATGAAAGTGGAGTTCCAGAAGCTACTGGAAAATTTGTATCATGCAAAAAATGCATGAATTTCACAACTGTATTACAACAAGAAAACCCTTTTCTTTGAATTCAACTTATTCTGTGAACACTAGCGTTACCCTCATGCTATACCCATACAAACTTGACTTGAAGACATAGAGAGTGCTGGGTGCCTGTTTATCTGTTTCCTTTTACCAATCCTACTTTCCTTTCCAAAAGGAGTCCAGGTTATTTTGAAACACAAAATCTCACACAAGTCTCAGAATTTCATCTCATGGGCTTCTCAGAAGATCCAGCCTTGCAGCTTCTCCTCTTTGTGCTGTTTCTGTCCATGTACCTGATCACGCTGCTCGGGAACCTGCTCATCGCCTGGCCATCAGCTCAGACTCCCACCTCCACACCCCCATGTATTTCTTCCTCTGCAACCTGTCCTTGGCTGATGTGGGTTTCACTTCCACCACGATTCCCAAGTTGATTGTGGACATCCACACTCACAGCACAGTCATCTCCTATGTGGGCTGCCTGACACAGATGTCTCTCTTTATTAACTTTGGGTGCATGGGTGATTTGCTTCTGACTGTGATGGCCTATGACCGGTTTGTTGCCATTTGTCATCCATTGTATTACCAGGTCATCATGAACCCCTGCCGCTGTGGCTTCTTGGTTTCAGTGTCGGTTGTGGCCAGCCTTTTGGAATCCCTGCTGCAGAATTTGATGCTATTAAGAGCTACCTGCTTCAAAGATGTTGACATTTCTAATTTCTTCTGTGAACCTTCCCAGCTTCTCACTCTTGCTTTCTCTGACACTTTCACTCATGACACAGCCATAGATTTTGTTGGCATCATATATGGTTTTCTCCCTATCTCAGGGATTCTCCACTCTTACTACAAAATCATTTCCCCCATTCTGAGAGTCCCATCAGCTGGTGGGAAGTACAAAGCCTTCTCCACCTGTGGCTCTCACGTGACTGTTGTATGTTTATTTTATGGAACATCCCTTGGGGTGTATCTCACTTCAGCAGCCTCCCTTTCTTCCAAGAAGTGTGCAGTGGCTTCAGTGATGTACACTGTGGTCATCCCCATGCTCAACCCCTTTATCTACAGCCTGAGGAACAGGGACATCAAGAGGGCCATGTGGAGACTTCTCAGTCAGCAAGCTATTTAGAGCACAGATTGGAAGGCAGCAAAACTCAGCATCCAGACCCTAATATCTCACCTGGTTCATCACATCACACTTGAGGCTCTCATGGCTTTCATTCATCTTCTTTTCTAACTGAGATTTCCTGTTTTGCTCTTTCTTTATGGAAGCATTATATCTTTACCCTTGCATACCTGACTCATATTGTACCTATGGAGCCTTCTGTAGTTCATTATGGACAATCCAGGTATCCTGGAAAAAGAAAATATACTTTGCCTTTTTGTTATTTAAAATTGATATCTGGGCCAGCCCTGTGGCTCAATAGGCTAATCCTCCACCTTGCGGCGCCGGCACACTGGGTTGTAGTCCCAGTTGGGTCGCCGGAGTCTGTCCCGGTTGCCCCTCTTCCAGGCCAACTCTCTGCTGTGGCCTGGGAGTGCAGTGGAGGATGGCCCAGGTGCTTGGGTCCTGCACCCCATGAAGGACCAGGAGAAGCACCTGGCTCCTGCCTTTGGACAGTGCGGTGCACCGGCTGCAGCACGCCAGCTGCAGTGGCCATTGGAGGGTGAACCAAAGGCAAAAAGGAAGACCTTTATAAAAAAAATAAAAAAAGAATTGATATCTGTTCCATAATTTTAATGTACTTTCCACTCACATTTCCATTCTTATCCTTGTAACTTATTTGACCTCGTTATCCGTGAGGATGCATATCACTGCTCCTTTTTATGAAACCCTCTAAGGAACTTTAACAATTCTGTTGCCTGGATTTCACTACCAGAGGTTCTGATGTCTTGAACTGATGTGTGGTCTGAGTATGGAAATTTCCAAGCACCCAGGATAAGCTGAAAAATTTGCTGACAGTTCATTAGTAACTTGATTTTATGTGATGAGTCATGTTTCCCTTGCTATTTCCATGATTTTCTCTTTGTTATTTTTACAGTTTAGTTATAATTTGTGTTGAATGTGTTATAATTGGGGTTCATGGAGCTTAAATGTGTATGTCCACTTCTTTCTTCAAATTTGGGAAGTTTCCAATTGCAGTCATTATCTCTTCAAACTGGTGCACTTGCACTCTCTCTCTCCTTTCTGTAGATCTCCCACAATACATATACTTGTCTGCTTGTGTTATCCCATAATATCCTTCCAATAAATAAAAGCCCAGGACCAAATGGCTTCACTGCTGAATTCTATCAGATATTTAATGAGGAATTAATCTCAAATCTATTCAAGACATTCAAAGCAGTTGAAAGGGAGGGAATCGTCCCAAACTTCTTCTATGAGGCCAACATCACCTTAATTCTTAAACCAGAAAAAGATACAACAAAGAATTATCGATCAATACCCTTGAGGAATGTAGATGCAAAAGTCCTCGACAAAATACTAACTAAATGAATCCAACAACACATCAGAAAGAACATTCACCCAGATCAAGTGGGATTTATCCCTGGAATGCAGGGTGGTTCAATATTCAAAAAGGAATAAATGTGATATATGTCACATTAACAAACTGAAGAACAAAAGCCATACGATGATCTCAATAGATGCAGAGATAGCATTTGCTAAAATACAACACCCTTTCATGATGGAAACCTTAAGCAAATTGTGTATGGAAGGAACACTCCTCAACAGAATCAAGGCAATATATGACAAATCCACAGCCAGCATTTTATTGAATGAGGAAAAGTTGGAAGCATTCCAACTAAGATCTGGAAACAGATAAGGATGCCCATTCTCACCACTGCTATTCAATAAAGTTTCAACCAGAGCCATTAGCCAAGAAAAAGAAATCACAGGGATGACAATTGGGAAGGAGGAAGTCAAACTATACCTATGTGCAGATGACATGGTTCTATATATAGGGAACAAAAGACTCACTAAGAGACTATTGGAACTCATAAAAGAGTTTATAAAGTGGCAGGATACTAAATTTTTTTTGGTATTTTTTTAACTTTTATTTAATGAATATAAATTTCCAAAGTACAGAATATGGATTACAATAGCTTCCCCCCCATAACGTCCCTCCCACCCGCGACCCTCCCCTTTCCCATTCCCTCTCCCCTTCCATTCACATGAGGATTCATTTTCAATTCTCTTTATATACAGAAGATCAGTTTAGCATACATTAAGTAAAGATTTCAACAGTTTGTTCCCATACAGAAACATAAAGTGAAAGATAATAGATGATTTTTTAAATGATGATGAAATCAGATCAGACCTATTGTTATGTTTAATCCCAGTGAGAGTCAAGTTGGGAATTGATAATTTCTTCTTTTTTTTTAACAGAAGATCAGTTTAGTATACATTAGGTAAAGATTTCAACAGTTTGCACCCCCATAGAAACACTAAGTGAAATATACTGTTTGAGTACTTGTTATAGCATTAAGCCTCAATGTACAGCACATTAAGGACAGACATCCTACATGAGGAGTAAGTGCACAGTGACTCCTGTTGTTGACTTTACAAATTGACACTCCTGTTTATGGCATCAGTAATCTCCCTATGCACCAGTCATGAGTTTCCAAGGCTATGGAAGCCCCTTGAGTTCTCCGACTCTTATCTTGTTTAGACACGGTCATAGTCAAAGTGGAGGTTCTCTACTCCCTTCAGAGAAAGGTACCTCCTTCTTTGAAGACCTGTTCTTTCCTCTGGGATCTCACTCACAGAGATCTTTCATTTAGTTTTTTTTTTTTTTTTTTTTTCCAGAGTGTCTTGGCTTTCCATGCCTGAAATACTCTCATGGGCTTTTCAGACAGATCCGAATGCTTTTAGGGCTGATTCTGAGGCCAGAGTGCTGTTTAGGACATCTCCCATTCTATGAGTCTGCTGAGTATCTCGCTTCCCATGTTGGATCACTCTCCCCTTTATTTATTCTATCGGTTATTATTAGCAGGTACTAGACTTGTTTATGTGCTCCCTTTGACTCTTAGTCCTTTCATTATGATCATTTGTGAACTGAAATTGATCACTTGGACTAGTGAGATGGCACTGGTAAATGCCACCTTGATGGGATTAAATTGGAGTCCCCTGGTATGTTTCTAACTCTACCATTTGGGGCAAGTCAGCTTGAGCATGTCCCAAATTGTACATCTCTTCCCTCTCTTATCCCCACTCTTATGTTTAACAGGGATCACATTTCAGTTAAATTTCAACACTTAAGAATAACTGTGTATTAATTACAGAATTAAACAAGTCATATTAAGTAGAACAGACAAAAAAACTACTAAGAGGGATAATGTATTAAGTTGTTCATTAAGAGTCAGGGCTATGTTGATCAAGTCACCATTTCTCATAGTGTCCATTTCACTTCAACAGGTTTCCTTTTTGGTGTTCAGTCAGTTGTCACCGATCAGGGAGAACATATGGTATTTGTCCCTTTGGGACTGGCTTATTTCACTCAGCATGATGTGTTCCAGATTCCTCCATTTTGTTGCAAATGACTGGATTTCATTGTTTCTTACTGCGGTATAGTATTCTAAAGAGTACATATCCCATAATTTCTTTATCCAGTCTACCGTTGATGGGCATTTAGGTTGGTTCCAGGTCTTGGCTATTGTGAATTGTGCTGCAATAAACATTAGGTTGCAGACCGCTTTTTTGTTTGCCAATTTAAATTCCTTTGGGTAAATTCCAAGGAGTGGGATGGCTGGGTCGAACGGTAGGGTTATCTTCAGGTTTCTGAGGAATCTCCAGACTCACTTCCATAGTGGCTTGACCAGTTTGCATTCCCACCAACAGTGGGTTAGTGTCCCTTTTTCCCCACATCCTCGCCAGCATCTGTTGTTGGTAGATTTCTGAATGTGAGCCATTCTAACCGGGGTGAGGTGAAACCTCATTGTGGTTTTGATTTGCATTTCCCTGATTGCTAGTGACCTTGAACATTTTTTCATGTGCCTGTTGGCCATTTGGATTTCCTCTTTTGAAAAATGTCTATTGAAGTCCTTGGCCCATCTCTTAAGTGGGTTGTTGGTTTTGTTTTTGTGGAGTTTCTTGATCTCTTTGTAGATTCTGGTTATTAACCCTTTATCTGTTGCATAGTTTGCAAATATTTTTTCCCATTCTGTCGGTTGTCTCTTCACTCTCCTGACTGTTTCTTTTGCAGTACAGAAACTTCTCAATTTGATGCAATCCCAATAGTTGATTTTGGCTTTGACTGCCTCCCGGGTCTTTTCCAGAAATACTTTGCCTGTGCCAATATCTTGAAGGGTTTCTCCAATGTTCTCTAATAACTTAATGGTGTCAGGACGAAGATTTAGGTCTTTAATCCACGTTGAGTGGATTTTTGTGTAAGGTGTAAGGTAGGGGTCTTGCTTCATGCTTCTGCACGTGGAAATCCAGTTTTCCCAGCACCATTTATTGAATAGACTGTCCTTGCTCCAGGAATTGGTTTTAGATCCTTGATTAAATATAAGTTGGCTGTAGATGTTTGGGTTGATTTCTGGTGTTTCAATTCTGTTCCATTGGTCTATCCATCTGTTTCTGTACCAGTACCATGCTGTTTTGATTACAACTGCCCTGTAGTATGTCCTGAAATCTGGTATTGTGATGCCTTCAGCTTTGTTTTTGTTGTACAAGATTGCTTTAGCTATTCGAGGTCTCTTGTGCCTCCATATAAATTTCAGCACCATTTTTTCCAGATCTGAGAAGAAGGTCTTCGGTATCTTGATTGGTATTGCATTGAATCTATAAATTCCTTTTGGGAGAATGGACATTTTGATGATATTGATTCTTCCAATCTATGAGCATGGAAGATTCTGTTATCTAGCAGAGAGCTAGATAACAAGTGGAGCAGCCAGAACTTGAACAGGTGCCCCTATGGGATGCTGGTGCTGCAGGCTGTGAGTTGACCTACTATGCCACAGCACTGGCCCCTACAATGTTTCTTAGTCTGAATGTTTTCATGTCTATTTACTGTATCACAAGGTTAAATGAAGATATATATATATATATATATATATATATATATATATATATATATATGGGATCCTTCAAAAACGTGAGGGAAACAAACTTTGAAATTTGTTTTCATC